ATTAGGAGTCTCAAACCTGTGCATGTGGCTTAAAACTTTAGGAAAAAAAACATTAATAAAAGCATATCAAATCATCCCTAAAAATATACATATGTATAGCTCCTTCTAGCTCAAAACAGTGGGCAAGCTTGAAATGATATTTTAATCATGTACCAGGCGATGCTTTTACCCTGGATTGGAAAAGAGCGAAGGCAGCAGCACCCAGCACTACGCAACAGCTTGGAAGAGCAACCAAGGAAGATTTTTGGCATCCATCTAAAAAGAGAGCGACACGCAGAAGACGCACAGCAAAATTTGTCCTGAGAAATCTGAGTGACAGCTAATCCTCTCCGCAACTGCCACCCAAACGGCCGGTTCGTGGCTCGCCCCGGCGCGGCGTTGGGAGAGTCACAAAGGACAGACTCAGACGGAAGCGATACCTGTTGAATTTTCACTAGTGCTTCCTTAAACATTTCGATGGAAATGCTCCAAAGATCGCTCGGATCCCGACCTGGATTAATGAGCCGTTTAGATGGCAGCGGCTCACCCTACAAGGCAATGAAGGAATGGCACACATTTCAGGCTGAAGTCTTCATCAGCAGAAGGAATGGCTGAGCTTTACACATGCTCTCTGGTTCCACTGTAAACAGTAATCTTCATCACTTCAGCTAAATAACATCATTCTAACAAACAGTACTTAAATTATAGCCGGAGTGATGTAAGCCTAACAGCTTGTCAAAATATGTCACAAATCCTAATTTTTGTAAAGGAAAATATCCCATTACCAAATGCTTGCAGCTACAGGAACCACACAACAAAGTTTGTCCTTCTGTTTTATCAGTACCAGCACGCCTGACTATTAAATGTTGCAGAAAAGATTCAGAATTTATTCAAAAATACATTTCACTAGTTTTACCCATCCCACATATTTTACCCTCTGCTACATCGATGCACGATTGCTGCAGTCAGTCTATCTCACAGTCTTTATACGGAAACAGCACCGTGTCTGCAGACTCCACCTCTGAAACTTATGTCAGCAGCTAAATTTAGCTTCCTTGCAAATATGCATCGATTCCGTCGCTGCAATAAATCATGCTGGTTTGTTCCTGTGATGGTCTTGACGTGCCTTATAACTAACGCGTTCGGTATGGCCCGCAGCTTTCCTTACCTGTGTGGTGTTATTAGTTAAAAAAGGTAAAGAAAGACACAAAACACCTGAGGCACCTCTTTCTAGGAGAAATTTTGATGGCTTCTTTGGCCTTCGGCTGATATTATGCAACTGGGCTCTGAGCAATCTTAGATGGATGGCAAACCCAGTCATTCAGAGCTGGTCAGATCACTCGAGGGATGAATTTGTCGCGAACATTTCAATTTGCTTAAATCCTCATCGCTAAATATATTCTGAATGAAGGAAAACGGCTTAGGGAGGGTTTAGAGAGATCAGCAATTTAAAGTCCTGTTATTTTGCAGCTTAACTAAGTCACGTAAAATATGCCAGACACAACAGTTTTTGTTTGGGCCCTTGGGTCTGCAGATATCCAAGTTATACAACTTTTAAAGGAAATTTGTGTCCGCTCGTTATCTATTTCTTTCTTGAAGCCTTTTGATTTATTATTATACTTAAACAACTTTACAGGAAGCACGAGGTTCTCCCACTTGAAGGTTGCCTATTTTTATATTTCTTCTCCCACGGCTCTCGTGATTTAGGTAGGCAAGGCCAGATTCAGCTGCTCCTGTTGAAATCAGTGATGTGATCTTACGTTTCACTTAACATTACTGGAATGTAGGGCTTTTTTTATGCAGGAAAATCTGAGCCGATGGCAATGAAAAACAAAAAACAACCATCTTCTGTGCATGGAATAGCATTAGATTTACTCTTTTTGCCTCATTTTCTCAACATCCACCGGACACATAGCGAAGGGCAAGGGTAGCTTTATTAAACTGCTCACAGGGCTGGCTTTTAAGGGACATTTCAATGATCATCAAAACGTTGAGCAGCTGCCAAGACAAAATTGTCCTAACAACCACCACGGAACAGCTCTTGATTATGGCTTAATCAATTCTGTCTCTTGGCCAGGATTACGTGCTCTGCCCAGGGAAGCGCTGCCCTGTGCTGATCTGTTGCCCAGACCCAGCAAAGCGTTTGCCTGGAGAGAGAGAGAGAGTGAGAGAGCAAAAATCCATTTGGTCTGGCCTTATTCAATCCTTGGCCAGAAAGGGGAGCTGTAGAATTATGGAATGAAGATAAGGAGAGCAATATGTTCCATCAGATTTTTAAAAATAACAGCCAGGAAGGGAGAAGTGTGCGAGAGTGTATCAGAGCCTGCGGACAGGGAGGGAAGAGGAACGTGTGAATTAAAGCAGAGGGTGAGGAGTCAGCGCGCCTTAGGTTTAATCCCGGGTCTGCTCCACCTTTCTGCATGACATCGAACGAGTCCCTGCGCTACTTCCAGACCCAGTAAATCGGGGTCAGATCGCAAGCCCCCTCCCCAAAGGGTAGCAGAAATCCGCTGTGGCGAGCGAGCGCTTGCGATGACATCGTCTGTGTGCTGCATGGCACGGACGGGAGGCTGGAGATTGATAAGGAAGAATAACTGAACATTAGGTCAGGATGGGTATTAATAATTCATGCTATCGTTATTAATGATTTACATTTCATAAAGCACATTGATTGCTGCATATACACACTCTCACGCATGTCATCCGCAGTAATGCAGATGTCATACACATCCCTGCCAGCTCCTCTACAGGAAAGGCACAGAGATCCAGGCTGCCCTCAGGTTTTACAGAGAAAGGAAATCTCTAAATTAATTTCCAGCTAGTCTGTTTCCTCATGTATTTTCCTTCATCATTGTACAGGACTGTGAAGTATATTTTTTTCTTTCTTTTTTCCCATTTCTATGATAAAAGGGAGGTGGTCCCAATACCTAATTAAAATGCTGGGACACCAAATAAAAATGAAGCAATTAGTTGCAACAGATGGGATTTTCTTTGTTGCTATCTCCACTACACCAGATGATTAGCTAGGAAGAGAGAGACAAGAAAGCAGGACACACACACAGAGACAAAAAAAAAAAAAAAAAAGCAAAAAGCAAGCTATATTTTATTTACAACGTGAATAACCTGGGATTCACACTTCCTATCTTTCTGCATAGCAGGAAAAAAATTAGCCAGGCACCACGTAACGAGCAGGGGCTTTGAGCAGCGAGCGGTGACGTGAGGCTTGGCGCTGTGATTCCTGCAGCATTCCATGTTACACTCATCACATATCCTAGTCTTGGCCTCATTCTTCAGCCAGTTTTGAATCCTTTTGCCATCTCATTCTGTTTCTCTCCCTGCTGTCTAGGATCAAGTTGGACCAAAGGTGCTGGGAAAGTCAGAGGTACAAGAAAGGAATCGTATAATGGTAAGTATGTGCGAGATGTTCGTGTTCAGTTAGGCGGCGTGACAGCTGGGAAGATGTATGTTTAGGAACAGATTTTTAGAAAAACCCAACAGGATATAGCAAAATGAGAAGCTATTCCTGCTCTTCTTTATTGCAACATTTTCACAGTTCAGCACTGGAATAGATTGTCCTGACCCTCCCTCCCTATTTCTTCTGAAGAACAAGCAGGTCAACACCTGTCAGGACTGATTTAGCTGTAGCCAGCAATGCCTTAGGGATGGAGCCCCACTTCCTGCAGCCCCTTCTCACCCCCTGCCTCTGTAAGATCACCTCTGTAAGATCACCTATACCATTCCCCGCAAAGGAGCCGTGCCTCACTGCTGATGGAAACATCCCCCGGCTCAGCTGGCTGGGAAAACACGCCGTGTCAGCCCCACCACTGAATCAGGCGAATCTCCCACTCGAGGAGCGGGGAGGCTGCGTCACTCCAGACACCCCGATAACGCCAGTACTATCCCTGCTCGTGTACAGAGCCCGAGTCTGTCAGGTGGCAGATAGTTCACAGTGACAAATATTTCACAACTCTATTTCTTTGCATCATGAGAATGATCATGTGTCTTCAGATGCTTCCTGAGAGGATAGGATCTATTTTTCATCGCTGTAAGGCTTTTTGTTATCACTCTCTCACACACACAAACTCTGTGGCAATGTTCATATTCTGACTCGGGTTTGGGACTTCTGCAAACGAGAGTAATGGACAGCACAATGTACCGAGCATGGTGGCATCATCACACCTATTTTTGAAGCAAACATGCTATTCAATTAAAAGCTAGCATGGATTTCCTGTGCCTTAACACGTTTATTCTCCCTTATAAGGAAATCCACAATCACAGATTGTCAATAAACAGAAGATGCAAGTCAACCAGCATGGGTCGACACATCCTTGCAGGATTCAAACTTCCAAACACCCGTTTCTAACCTCTCCCTGTTTCTGCACAACTGCCGTTTCACCCGTGAAATTTCAACAATGTTCATTTATCTGTAGTTTTTCAGTCAAAGGGTTTCCAAGTTGATGTCATTCTTCTGAAAGGCTTATTCAGCTAAGTCACGGTGCGGGAGAAAAAGAACCTAAGGAAAATAAAACCTCCTTTCTGTGCCATAACGAAAATAAAATTATATTGGCTCACCCAGTGCCTGGAGAGGCAAAGCTGAATAATCACACATGACAGCGGGAGAAAGTATCGGATGGGCACTTCTGCATGGCATCTGTCCATGAGAAGCAGTATAGGAGTACTGGATATTATTTATATACAGGACAGTCTTCAAAAGCGAATCTCTTACTCACAAAACAGTTTCACCACAAGAAGTACCTTTACCAAGCGGATAGTAGACGTGAAGCAACACCTGATTTTCATCCTGCCTCGCTACGACCGTAGATCACTAAACGTGCCCTGAGCGCATCCCATCTGTTGCTCGGCTATGACAAGGCAGCTAGTTTCTGAAAACCTCCCCACCGCCTCGTCCCCACCTCCCCTCGCCGCCAGCCCGGGGCTGCAGCGTGCTCCGGAGCCACCCCGGCCCCACGAGGCAGAGCCGGGGGTGCCCGCCCGTCCCTGGCAGAGCCGTCACACCTCACCTTTCCTGGCAGCGCTGGGTGGTGGCGTCGCTGCCTTCCCCTCCGCCGCCTTGGGCTTTTCGAAGGTTTTCTTTGCGTCGGCAACTTTAAGCACTTTCTCATCCTCCTGACTCTTCCTCCCCTTCCGCTCGGGCTCCTCCGAGCCCCCTCCTCCTGCAGTCCTGCCTCCAGTTAGCTGCTCCGCGCCTGCAGCTGCCCACTGCTCCTTGGCAGGCTTCGCTGCATCGCTGCGGGGCTCCAGCAGCGCCTCCGTCATCACCACAGTCTTGCTCATACTCAAAGCCAGGCTCTCTTTGCTGTGGGACCTGACAGGAGGGGCCGGTGGGGTTTTTTGCTGGATGTATGAATCGAGTATCCCTGCCTCTGCTTCACCTCCGAGCTGTTCCCTGCTCTCAAGGAGCTGGCTGCTGCTCTGTCTCGAAAGCTTTTCAGTGCCTGTAGCCACTGAAGCATAATTTGCAACCGCAGAGACCATCCTCTCGAGGCTCTTCACTACCTGCTTGTCTGGCTCGGGCTTCCTGGCTGGATCCTCCTCGCCGTTCTGGCCGTTCTGGCAAAGGTCTGGAGCGCCATCAGGCCAGGGGGTGAAGCTCACCGCCTGCCTGAAGCTTTCAGCTGCCTTGCTGCTTTCTCTGGGGACGTAGGAAACAGATGTTGTTGCCTCCTGTTTGCTTTGCAAAATGTAATCCATGAGCATGGCGTTTCGCTCGAAGCTATCTGACCTGATGGGGACACTCGGCTTGTTTCTCTCCGAGGGAGAGTTCAGGGTCAGTTTATTCACTTGCCTGCTCTCTGCACTGCTTTCAGAGTCTGAACGGCTCATCTGCCTCCTCAGGACTCCTTGGAAAGAGTTGAGCCTGTTTAGCCTCGGACTTGCCGCCTTCCCATCTCCTGGGTAGCCCTCCTGAATCACAGGTACCTTGTGCTCTGCCGCTTCCCATTCCTCCTCAGGTTCTGCTTCTGCCTCTTCGATCAGGCGCCTGTACTCGCTCTCCTCCAACCTGTACACCACCGGCTTCACCGTCCGGCCCGTGCCCGCTCGCTGGTGCCTGACCTCCATTTTGTACACCTTCAGAGGGGCTTCTCCCTCCTCCCCTCTCCCGCACCCTGTCGACACGGGGTGCTCTTCCAAGCACAGGTCCCCTGCCAGCCCCCCCTGCCCTCTCTGCCTGCTGCTGCATATCTCTGACTTCTTGGCAGGGGCTGGCGTGTCGCTGCCAGGGTCGGGAAGGTCCCCCCTCTCCAGCCTGTGCCCCAGGCCCTCCTGCCCGAGTTGCAGCCGAGTATAATCCTCACACGTCCCTGCAGAGGCTCCCCGGGAAGTAGCAGAGTCTCTCCCCCTCGCCTTACTTGTGTCATCCCGTAAATATCCATGGTACTGCCAGGTAGAGGCTTCCATGGCCAGCAGCTCAGTCACCGTAATTCCTTAATTCCTGGTCCAAATGCTTTGAAAGTGGCCAGCCAAGATTTCTTCCCACCTTGCGTCCCGGCAGACTTTCAGCACCGCCTTCTCCTTCCTCCACTACTGGGAGAGACGGAGGCAGCTTGGAAGCCTCCGTGCCTGGGTCATGTGAACCGACGGGTTTTAGCCTCATGGCCAGCAGAGATGAAAATGCACGTTGGCACGATGGAGCCCATCCTCTGCGGCAGGGCAGGAGGCTCTCTCCTAACACAACAGCTGTCAGAGTTGATGCTACGCTGGTCCCTACCCAAATATATCCCACCTGAATAACTGCAGAAACATCCCCTGGCTTCCAATTCACTGGTCCATAGCACTTCCCGGCCAGGACTTGCTGCCCATCTGCATCTTTCTTCAGGGACTCTCCTCTTTTCCCCAACCTGCCGCGGCAATAACTCCCTGTGCTCCCGTGCAGCAATCCTCCCTGGCTTCCCTCCGATCTCGCTGCTTCCCCAGTGATTTGCTGCAGCTCATCTGGGCAGGATCACCTCCCTCAGTTCCTCCGTGAGTTCCCCGGAGAGTTTGCAAACCCACAGCCGTGCCCCTGGCGCTCTTCCCTGCCTCCCTGCCCCGCGCCCGACGGACGCAGAGCTCCTTCCTTGGAAGCAGCGCGCAGCTTTGGTCTGCGTCCCAGTGTTTCGGGGAAGAGATACCGCCTGCACTGAGCACGCAGGGCAGAGCTGGGTCGGCTGGAGTGATCTGTGGGAATACGTTCTTGCTAAAGGAGTTGCTGTGACATAGAAAAGACTGCCCAAGATAAACAGAGAACCCCGACAGCACCCTCAGAAACAAGTTTCCCTGAGGAGACTCCAATGCCCAACTTAGCAAAAATCCCTATTAACGCTTCGGGCATTTCTTTAAACAACCCTCCGAACAGAAAGTTCCTCCCTTTGGATAATCCTTCTGCCAAACGGGCTCCCGTGGACTCTCCGGAAGGAGGGGGAGCAGGGGAGCTGGAGGGCTTTAATCCGTTTATACACAGCCGGGATGCCTGGCATTGCAGCGAGCCGCCGCGGCCGCCCCAGCAGCTCTTCCCCAGCGCTTTTGCCTTTTATGGTGCACGAGGTGCCGGCTGCCTGATCCCCATCCCAGGGCAGCATCCCGAAGCGGGATGCAGGAAAACACCTAGATGGTCCCACACCTCCGGGGTGCTGGGGCTCAGCTGGGTGCTGCTTCCCAGCAGCAGCTGAGTTTACCCCAAGATCACCCTGAAGGGTTTGCAAAGAGCCCCCAGCGACCTGCGCCCTGGCTCCAGGCTAACAGTGTCTGTGGGGCTGGAAAAGCCTCCCAGGGCCTCAACCAGAGCCCCCTGGGACCCCGGCAGCCCCCAGCACAGCCAACATGCTCACACAGGCGGCGTGGGTGACGCGTGGACCACCAGCTCTCCCGATGCCACCCCCTGTGCCAGCCGCTGTCAAGGGATGTTGGTTACCCCGGCCCTTATCAGCCCGGGAGCCAGCCAGGCCCATGCTCGCAGGGACAGTTTTTTATCAACGCACATTGCAGAGATGCTCTGCAGCGAGACAAAACGCCATTTGTTACCTCTGGAAGTCTTAAATCCTTGCTGAGGCTGCCCAAAACAAACAGAACCGCTTCCCAGCAGGACCAAGGGCTGGGCTCCCGAGCCGAACTGGGAGCAGGCAATACTCCCCGCCAACACCAGTGGTGTTGGGGACCAATCCCCCCAGGTCACGAAATGCTGCAGCAAGATTTGCTCACAGTCACGTGAGGGACAAATTTTTAAAGCTGTGTCACCTCTCCATGGGATAAACTGGCCAGACTCAGGCACGCCTGACGTTGGCACAAATAGCTGGTCAATAATTCAGGGTTCTTCCCCTTGCGCCAACACCCTTGCCAAAGCCAAATACACTCTTAATTTTTTCACAAACCCTCATGATTTGGACACATCACCCTGATTTTTTTGGCTTGGCTTGTGTGGGGATAGTAAAGCCCAGGATGGGTTGTTGGACCTGGGTTTGCCCTGCCCCACAGCCTTTTGCACCACTGTCCTGTGAGCTGCATGTTAAACACTCAGGACAGTCCGACACAGGAGCAACGCGGTTTCTGCTCCTGAACCGTCTGCATAAAAGGAAATGGCAGCTGCAGCAACGTCATGGCTGCTGCCCCATCCTTCAAAGCAGAGAGGAAGAGACTTTTAGGGAATATGCAATGCCCAGGGCAAGGGCCAAGGCTGGAGCAAACCCGACTAGCTCTTCAGCCACTCCCCGGCCGAGCAGCAGAGCTGTGGCGAAGCCACCCGAAATGCGTGCGTGTGCGTGCACGCGGAGGGGACCTGCCATGGCAGGAACTCTGGCAGCAGCACGTTTGCAACGAGCGAGCAGAGAGGGAACCGCACCGGCAGCGCGGCTCAGCCTGTGCCCGCTGCAGCACCGACACTCAGCTTCTGCTTAGAAAAATATTTACGTTTCTACCTCTTCAGAGGCCAGTGTGGCCGTCCAGCCACCACCCAGTGTAAATAGACACGGAGGCATAACAGAATCATCTTCGTTGGAAAAGCCCTTGCAGCTCCTCCAGTCCAAGCATTAACCTCCCCCTGACCGTTCCCAACTCCCCCAGACCCCTCAGCGCTGGCTCAGCCCGACTCTTCAACCCCTCCAGGGATCCCGGGGACTCCCCCCTGCCCTGGGCAGCCCATTCCAACGCCCAACAGCCCCTTCTGCACAGAAATCCTTCCTCAGAGCCAGTCTAACCCTTCCCTAAAACCCCAGGGCTGCAGACAGCTGGAGACCTGCTGCCAGTGCAGCAGCTTCTGCCCTTTGCTGCGGTGAGCTGCTGGTGCCGAGGTGCAGCTGTGGCCCTTTGCTTCCTTCCTGTTGCTTTTCTGTGCACGTCACTTTGTTCACTAAACGCAGCCTTGCTCACCTGCCAAACCCAATCTTTTCCCCCCAATACCACCGTGAAAATATCTGCTCACATCCCTCCGGTCAGCCAACCCCAACGTGAAACTGGGAAACGCTGGTAAGGAGCCATCCTCCCCCCATCAGGGGCAAAAAACGGAGTCGGAGGGTCCTCGAGGGAGTCTGCTCCTTTCTGACGGCTGCTTGGGACCAGCCAGACCTCGCCTCTTCCCACCACCCCGGGTCCCAGCCAGGTGAGCGCCCAGCACCAGGCTGCCCCCGCCATGATTTGCCCATGGAGACTTCACGCTCAGGCATCTCCTTTCACCAGCGAGGCTATAAATAAACCCTCCGACGGTCGCCGGAGAGAATTTGTGTTGCTCCAGATGTTGCCTGGCTTTGCCATAGCAACATCACAACAGGATGTAACATTTGGCCATAACTACAACCGCTCCGAAAAGAAGCCACTTTCAGTCCTAACCAGAAAAAAAAAAAAAAAAAAAAAAAAAAAAAAAAAAAAAAAAACAACACAAACTTACCGGCAGTCCCAGGGCACCCTCTGGTCATCTCACAGTCCTCTTGTGGTGCCTCTCTAACGTCTAACCCTGACACACAAATCCACCAACGGCTACGGCAGGGAGATCTCCATCTTTGGGGAGCTGAGATGAGCAGGGAGCATCGTCTGGTGAATCAGCCAAGGAAAGTGTGAATTCAGCGAGCCAAGAGCAAACATCTGACCCCAAAATGGCAGCGGCTGAGAGACAGACTCCGTCCCGAGGACCTCAGGAGCTCTTGGCTGCCCAGACTGGAGTGCTGGGGCTGCCGGCTCAGCGCAAGAGCTTCCAGCTCTGCTGCGGCTCAGCGCTGGAGAGAGTTAACCCCGGGGTGTAAAAGCTGTACACACACACACACACACACACACACACACGTAAGCGTGTCTGGGCAACTCTCAGGAGGCCTTGACACAAAGCCAAGCGCTCTGTGCCGGGCGACTCAGCCCGGGGTCTCTGTCCTCCATCAGGGCAGCGTCAGACGCCGGTTCCAGCTCCCGCAGCAGGTACCTGCCCGCACAGCGACAGCCCGGCCCAGCACCCCCTCCCGCCGCCAGGCAGAGCCACACGGCCACTGCAGATGCCCTCGGGTACGAGAAAAAGACGAAACCCACCCCCAAACCCACCCCAGGGAGGCTCCGTCCTCCATCAGTCACAGATTATTTTCCCAGCCAGTGCACGAGTCCCTGAAAGCTGCGAGCGCAGCCCAGAAATGCGCCGGTGACACGAAGTGGCACCAGCCAGCACATGTCACACGGGGCTCCAGGGCCATGCTCGACTGCGAGGTGAAAGGAAAACGTCCCCCAGCCCCTCGCCGTCACACACCCTTATTGCGCCGGAATCAAACCCAGCCTTGGCAGGACTTAAATCACTTAATTCACCCCCAAAAGTTTGCACCGGAGCTCTGCAC